GACACAGAGGAAGCAAGTTGTGAAGGCAGAACTGAGAAAAGGTACCAAGCCATGTGGCTAAACATAAATAAGAATTATGGGTTAATTTAAGTGTAAGAGCTAGTCTGTAATAAGCTCGAGTTAATGGCCATACAGTTTGTAAATAATATAAGTCTCTGTGTGTTTACTTGGGCCTGAGTGACTGTGGGACTAGAAGGTGAGAGAGATTTGTCCTGACACCTTTTCTCCTCAAGTTGCTTTTGTCATGGCATTTTATCACAGCATTAATAACCTTAAGACAGTATCCAAACAGAAGATAGTTTGACCATACTTACTTCTAGAGGTGACAGACAAGACCCTTCTAAGCATTTGACAGTAATTGTTCAAAGAGAGTCTTGATATGTAACTCAGGTTTTACCCCCTACATGTTTCTAGACCACCAAACTCTTCCCTGTTCTAAGAGATTCTGAGACCTCCAGTGTCTCAAGGTCTGATCTCTGGGGATCTTGGAGGGACCTCCAGAAATGTGAGTTATTCTCAGTCATGAATTTAAGCCAATATAAAGTTTTTATTAGCTGGCCAGTAACTACGATGGTGATCGGGATCCCACTGTAACCCCAAGCCCTTCTCAGCCTGAGCTTTTAGGCACAAAACCCATATTCTAGGTTAGCATGCTTCAGTTAACTAGAACAGTTAGCCAGAAGCAGAATTATAGAAGCTAAAAAGCTAGGTTAGGACACTTAGAGACTTTCACAGAACTTTGGACTTTGCTGGAGTATGCCTTTGTTTTAGTTTTGGTGGTAGTGTTGTCTACTTGCTGAGTTTTACATGCTGGATTGCACTTACTTCATGGAGTCAATTGTGCTTAAGGTCTGGGGCCATATTACACCAAAAGTGGTTTTGGAGTTCTGATCTTTGGTGCTAGGGGATTTAGGAAGATGGGAAATTAAAAGTAGTAATGAAGGCCTGTTAAGAAAAACAATGTGGCCAGGAGAACCGAATCTCCAGTCTACAGATCTAACATTCCAATAGGGATAGGCCAATGTTTTGGCCAAGGAACAACCCCAGAAAGCAGGGAGACCCACTTTAAGACATACTAATTGTACTGGCTGGTTTTTGTGTCAACTTGACACAAACTAGAGTCATCAGAGAGGAAGGTGCCTCAGTTAAGGAAATGCCTCCATGAGATCCAGCTGTAAGGCATTCTCTCAATTGGTGATCAGTGAAAGAGGACACAGCCCATGGTGGATGATGCTATGGTTTTATAAGAACGCAGGCTGAACAAACCATGAGAAGCAAACCAGTAAAGAGCACCCTTCCACGGCTCCTGCATCAGCAGCTCCTGCATCCAGGATCCTGCCCTGATTTAGTTCTTTTCCTGATTTCCTTCAGTGATGAACAGTGCTGCTGTGGAAGTCTTAGCTAAATAAACCCGTTCCCACTCAACTTGCTTTTTGGTCATGGTGTTTTGTGATAGCAACAGTAACCCTAAGACACTAATAAAAAAGATGTAATAATTAATTCCTTGTACTAATGACCTGGCTCAGGATTATTGAATCAGCTGTTATGAATAAGTATTCCCTTACCCACTGCAGTCTCCATTCCAAGCTAGTATTAATACCAACAGTGAAAATAAGAACACTACCACAATTTGAGCCATATTCAAAGCAAGCTTAATTTTTTAAATTAGGGTGTATCCAAGTACTGGCCAATTACTGCCCCCTAAAATCTTTGTTTACTCAAAGATCTACTTCTCTATGGTGGGAATTTAATGACTTGGAGCAGGGACCATTTTTCTCCTTAGATCAGTGCCTCTCTCCCATGTTGTTGTTGTTGGTGGTGGTGGTAGTTTTGTTTGTTTGGTTTTTCAAGAGTTTCTCTCTGAGTAGGAGCCATAGCTGTTCTGGAACTTGCAATGGAGACAAGGGTGGTCTTGAATTCACAGAGATCCCCCTGTTCTGCCTCTGTAGTGCTTGGAAGAAAGGCATGCACCACCAAAACAGGCTCACAAAATAATGTTTAAAGATAATTTAACACCTGAGTCCCGCTACATTGTGTATTATACATAAAGTGAAATCTGACTGATATACCTCTTAAAATGTATTCCTGGGAAAGCAGTGTAGCTCAGGTACTCAGATACATAGCAGTACATTAGACACAGTACTCAATCACTGCTCTTGGAGGAGAATCTTGGAAAGAATCAGCACACTGCTCCTTGCTGCTACTCCCAATTGCAAGGCCTGTTCAGAGACCTACTTTAGCAAGTACCACCCAGCTAGAGAGGCCTCACTAGAATAGCAATACCCCTACATTGTGATCTGAGATGAAATGACTCAGAGCACAGACCATTCCCAGTTCTATCCAGGAGCAGACAGGGAACCTGTACTGGAAATTTGCATTTAAAGTAGTATTTGTTCCAGTCTCCCAGAATATTGTTTTTTCTCCTTAGGTATAGGGGCCTGAGTATGCACAGTCCATTACACACTCAATGCCTAGTGCAGTACATTTACCTCAGACCTTGGAAGTTCTCAAAAACCAACTTTAGGTCAAATTCAAATAGGAACAATAAAAGTGAAATGAGGTGATAAATTGGAAAACAAAAAGAGATATATGAAAGGCTGGGAAATAAATAGAAAGGCCAAATGATGTAATTATAACTACAATTTCTAAAAACATTCAAACAGGCTGCATGACCCTATGTAATCAAGGGACTAACAATTTATATTGGCGCACACCACAAATTACTCATACTGTAATATATGAATCAAAACAACCAGTTCTATTTGATAAGCTCAGGAAAGAGAAGTATTAATAGACTGATGAATATCTGGACTATGAATCCTTCCTAATCCATTAGATAAACCATCAATAAAATAAGTTTCTGCCTGTGTAATGAGAGAAGGCTGAAAAATTTTTGTAATCATAAATTCAGGTCATATGAGAGAACCCCTATCTTGCCAGAAAGATAATAATTTTCTATCTTTCCATAGCAAATTACAAATGATTTGAAAGTCCATAAAGTTCTTTAACACACTTAAACACTGATTGTTAGTTAAGGGTAGTAAAAATACAGCAACAATCAAGTCTATACAGTTTTTGATATTGAGTCATGCCCTGATTTACTAATTGAGTAATATGACTAAGGAAAACTGGTAGTGCCCCCCCCCCCGGACTGGTGTAAATTAATCCATTCCAAAGGTTTATACTTTTGGCTGTAAGTGTATGAGACAATTTAGTATGGAAAATAAGTAAGTTTAAAGGAGCCAAGAATCCATGTAATAAAAAAAAAATGCCTCTTTTAGTCTGGATTCAAATACCTGTAGTTTTTACTTTGCCTCTGGGGGTAATATGTAAGAACTATCCAATGATGACTATCCTTCTACAGTTTTAAATAGAATGGTTGGGGCATCAGTAGGTACTCTTCATGGAGAACATAGGCAATTAATTCTCCCTAATAATTTCTGAAAGTCATTAAGTGTTTTTAAGTTGTGTAATGGATTTTTTGTGTTTGTGTAGTTAAATGGTTGTTGTAGTAACCAGTTTTTCTAAATACCGCACAGTGTCTTATCTTTGAACTATTTCAGTGCAATAATAAGTCCACTGTTTTGTTTGGTAATTCCCGCGTCATACCATATATGAATTGTAGCTCCTCCTCTTTAGAATTAGTAAACAGGATATCATCTATGTATTGAATGATATAACCCTGAAGGAAAGCCTTCCTCTCAGACTCTAACACCTTTCCTATATAGTAGTGACACACAATAGGGGAGTTTTTCATGCATTGGTTCAATATAGTCCATTGATATTGGAGCAGAGGTTCTTTATGATCGAGGGAACAGAAACAGCAAAATACATGTTATCAGGATAAATAAGTATACTTTAACAGCAATCTTTTAAATCCAAAACTATTGAAGGCTTATCTTTAGGAATACCTGTGGGTCTAAGTAAACCTGGCTGTAAATCTGCCCTTGGTCAGGTAGTAGTTTCTGGCCTTTATGGTATAAATCAATCCATTCCAAAGGCTTATCCTCTTGTGCTATATCATGTCTGTAGATGACAATTTAGTGGGGTAAATAAGCAAGTTTGAAGGCAACAAAGGATCCACAGGGTACACATGTGCCTCTTTGGCCTGGATTCAAGTAGCTATAGTTATTTTTTGCCTCTCAAGATAGCATGTGATGACCGTCCAACGCCATCTCCCCTTTTAGAGTTTAGATCAATTGGTTAGTGCATAATTAGGTGTTAAACATTTTGATTTTGCTGAAGCTGCAATGGAAATACCAATCACACCTCATGAGGCCAGAAGGAATTTGCAAATGAAGTCAACTTTATCATAGGCTATCTCAGCCCAAATGGAGAGAATTTAAGATTAGATTGATCAGTAAATTACTCACCCCATGCTTCAGGGTTATTTTCAGAAAATGGAGGATATGTATGTAAAGGAGGCTCCAGTAAAGTAGCTGAAGGAGTTGTCACCAACATACATGTAGGTGATGCCATTTTTACTTTTGATTTTTCCTGAACAAGGAAAATCACCTTTTTTTCTTTTTTTACAAAATTTATAGTTTGATCATAAAGTTTATATTCATTCAAGGAATTCTCTATTAGTCCTTCATGATTAATGTCCTCCTTATCTTCCTTAGTTTGATAATAGTCCATATTAATGACCAAAAGACCCCAAATTGAGTAAAGTTCTTTTCCTTGTTTATATATCTTTTCAATATTGTTTTGGGCTCTGTCCCACACTTCTTCTAAAAATTTCTTTTTTTGAAACCAGGAGTTATAATCATATTCAATTTGCAATACTTGTGCTCCTCCTTTCTTTAAAAACATGATGCACTACCAAAATAGAAAGCAAAGCCTCCCATGGCTCCTGCCCCATAATTTTCACTCACCTCCTTCTATGAGGGTCATCCACCTCTTAACTTGTAGCTGATTTGTGGTTTCTGTTCAAGTGCTACTTTTTACCACTGTATAGGTGGTGGGACCTGGAAGATTGGAGCCAAGAATTGTGGACTAAGTCTCATACAATAGCCAACTTTATTCCATGCCCCAGAAAACTTATACTTTGCAGGTTATAAAGGTCATATGAGTAGAGTTCTCCTGAGTTCAAGCTGCATATAATGATTAAAAACAAGACACATGGGACAAAAACATGTTTTTCCATACAAGCATATAAAGGACAGTTCAAACATTTCACTGAATCACAACAGCAAACAATAATGAGTAATCTGAAGTCAACTCACACCTATCTGCTACACCTGGGAGAAGCACAAAAACACATTCCAAGGACAATAATACCATGGTTTGAAGAAAATGAGGTCGTAAAGCCTTGTGTCTTGTTTGCTTAGAGTGTTAACATAAGCATTTAGAATTCTCAAATGACTCCTTTCCCAGATGGTGTTCTGACAATACACCAAAATTAAACTTATTTTATTTTAATTAAAAAAATTATAACATATACATTAAGAAAGCTCTTTTAAAAATATGGAGTCATACAAACACACATATGTGCATGCATATACACCTGTATTTGCTCCACTTCCATACCTTGTGCCCAAGGAAGCCTGAAGAGTACATCAGATCTCCAGAACAAGGCTTTATAAGCTGTTCTGAGCCATTTGATGTGGGTACTAGGAATCAAACTGTCAACTTGATACACAAACATATCACAACAAAGCCTCAACTTTTCCTTTCTTATTCATTTACAAGACCTTACATTAAAAGAGAGACAGTTTATTAGAAATCACATAATTTCTACAAATTTAAAAATATTAAAATTTCTTTTTAAAAATGTCCAGTCTCACTGAAAACCCAAAATCTTTTTTAAAATTTTAAAGCTTTTCAACTATTGCTCAAGTAAAAAGAAATCAAAATTAAATTAAATACTTTCTCCCTTCAAAAAGGAAGAAACAGGGCAGTCACAATCTGAAAAAAGTGAAAACAAACTCCCACAATATGAATAATACCACATTCAATGACAGAAATCCACTCAAAATCTTCTGGGCTTCTCCAAAGGGTTTGGGTAATTTTTTGGGCTGAGCCTTCTGCAGCATATACAGCTTCTTTTCTAAGTGCTGACTGGTTCCACTTCACCACTGTTGATGGTCTTGCTGGACACCACATGGTTCTAGAGTCTTTGCCTAGTATAAAAAGCTTTACCTCATTTATTCATGGAATTATTCTCTAGTATGTCTTCTTTCATGATTTTGCAGATGACTGTTACATGCAAAAGCTTTGCCACATTTATTACATCTAAGGGGTTTCTCTCTGGTATGATCTATTTCATGCATTTGAAGACTGTTGAGATGTGCAAAGGCTTTACCACATTTATTACATTCATAGGATTTCTCTCTAGTGTGACTTCTTTCATGTTTTTTACAATTACTGGAGTATGCAAAAGCTTTACCACATTGGTTACATTCATAGGGTTTCTCTCCAGTATGAGTTCTTTCATGAGTGTGAAGATGATATTTATGTGCAAATGCTTTACCACATTGATGACATTCATAGGGTTTCTCTCCAGTATGACTTTTTTTATGCTGTTGAAGATTACTAAGATATGCAAAGGCTTTTCCACATTGTTTACATTCATAGGGTTTCTCTCCTGTATGACTTCTTTCATGTTGGTGAAGATTATTACGGTATGCAAAGGCTTTACCACACTGATTACATACATAGGGTTTCTCTCCTGTATGCCTTCTTTCATGCCTTTGGAGATCACCACTACTTACAAAGGCTTTACCACATTGACTACATTCATAGGGCTTCACTCCAGTATGACTTCTTTTATGATGTTTAAGATTACTGGGATCTCCAAAGGCTTTACCACATTGATGACATTCATAGGGTTTCTCTCCAGTATGACTTCTTTTATGTTGTTTCAGATTACTAGGATCTGCAAAAGCTTTACCACATTGCTGACATTCATAGGGTTTCTCTCCATTATGACCTCTTTCATGACGGTGAAGACGACTTTTACGTGCAAAGGCTTTACCACATTGCTTACATTCATAAGGTTTCTCTCCAGTATGACTTTTTACATGCTTTTGAAGATCACCAGTACTTACAAAGGCTTTATCACATTGTTTACATTTATAAGGTTTCTCTCCAGTATGAATTCTTTCATGTATTTTAAGATGACTGGGACGTACAAAGGTTTTTCCACATTGATGACATTCATATTGTTTCTTTGTAGTATGAGTTCTAGGTACTTGTAGATGACTGTGACATTCAAAGGGTTTCTCGCCTTTATTATATTCAGAGGGTTTTATTTTCAAATGAGTTCTTTGGGGTAATTGTAAAGTAGAATGAAGTCTAAATGTTTTATCACATTGTTTACGTTCACAGGTTACCTCTTCATTATGGGTTCTTTTGTGTGTTTGATGATTCCTATGATGGTTAAAATCTTTAGTACATGGCTCTTGTTTATGGAATCCTTTTCCCATATGAATTTTTAAACATCTTTGAAGAGAACTGGAAGAACTCAGAGCTTTAAAACACTGATTGCATTCATAACATTTTTCTTTAGTGTGAGTCACACTGCATGTGCAACATGAATGAGGACAGGCAGAAGAATTTCCATATTCCTTGCACTTATAAGGCTTTTCTCCATGGTACTTATGTTGATGTATTCCCAATGAAGTTGGAGATCCAACTAACTGTACACTCGTATCAGGATTACCATGTCTTCCCATAGTGGGAACTACTACATATCTTCTAATGTTTCTGGGAGAAAGATAGGTACATTTCTTCTTTCCATATCCCTTAGGATCACATGGCTTATGTCCAGAGTGACAGATGATATACCTATTAAAGGAATAATAACAAGAGGTTTTCGCATTGTATTCAAACAGTTTAACTTTTTCTTGATTATAGAGTTGTGGTATAGGGATTATGATCTCTCCACAATGACAACATTTTACTCTCATAAACTGCCCTTCTCACTACCATTAAATCTCTTCAAGCATATGAATAACACTGGCTTAATTAAGGGACAATTTACTTATAAAAGTTCTTGGCCATACTCTAATCCCATAATCAATCTGAATGCCTTTACATTACTTGAAGGGAATGAAACTAAATGGATATAGTTCGACAAGATGGATCTCAGGGAGATATGATTAATATGGTGACATCTTTTTTTTTAAACCAAAATACTTAGGTTTATTGCAACAGGAGCACAAAAATCATATACTTACACGTGACAAAAGTATTCATATAATATTTCAAATAGTGTCTAAAACTTAGCATTACAATCTCAGTAGCTAATATAAATTACTATTTATTTTATGAAAACATTAACTCAAAAAAGTTAACATTGAATTTTTCAACCACCTTTCATTTAGTTGGTTATTGAGTACACATGAAGGGAGCTAAAAATCTAAAAATGTAAATACCATTTGCTATCTATTTGCTCAATCCCTCATTTTATTCGTGTTTCAAAAAAGCTGATTAAAATAATAGTTTTTGTATAAAGGTGCTATTAAACAAAAGTAGTGAGAGGAATTAACTAATACTGAACATCTTAAGAGTGCTTCAGATCAATCCTAAATTGTGTCCCTCCCATTATTTGTTTACTAAGCTTATACTGAATGTAGCAAGACTAACATTTGTGATAATCTGCAGATACATATTTCTGAAGATATACAACATTTCAAATATATATATTTGTTTTGTAGATAGGGTTTCTCTGTGTGACCCTGGCTATCCTAGAACTCACTCTATAGACCAGGCTGGCCTCCAACTCAGAGATCTGCCTGCATATCTCCCAAGTGCTAGGATTAAAATAGCGTGCCACCACCACCCCACTAAGACTGGAGATTTATTAGTGTTGAAGCTCTAAGTTTTTTTTTTCTTTTGTTTTGTTTTGTTTTGTTTTTAAGATTTACTTTATTGGGGACTGGAGAGATAGCTCAGCAGTTAAGAGCACTGGCTGCTCTTCCAGAGGACCCGGATTCAATTCCCAGCACTTGCATGGCAACTCACAACTGTCTGTAACATCAGTTCCAGTTGATCTGACACCCTCATACCAATGTAAATTAAATAAATAAAGAATATTTACTTTATTAGTTTATGTGTATGAGTGTCTTGCTTAAATGTACATTGTATGTGCACCACATGCATGCCTGGTGTTCTTGAAGGTCAGCAGAGGACTTCGTATCCACTGGGCCTGGAGTTACAGATGGTTGTAAGTTGCCATGCAGGTAGGTCAAGTTAAACCCAGGTCCTCTCACACAGGTAAAGGAGCAAATGATCAGGGAAGAGCCTTGCAACTTCTTTCACCACTGCTTGAGTTCCAAAGAGGCTGAGGTGACAACAATCACCGTTATCACTTCTCCCTCTCTAATATGGTGACATCTTTTAGGGAGTTGTTTCCTTGTCTTGTTTCATAGAGGAACACCTTGTAAACACAGATCAGGTACCTCAAATTGAGGTGCTTGATGTTGTAGGACTTTAATACTCATCACAAAGCTGTAATTATTTACACTGTTGATTGTCATTAAGTATCAAGGCACATTAAAATTTCTTCAGAGGTATAAATATATCAGTTTGCACATAAAAATTACCTTCCATGTCTTCTAGAACTTTGACAATGTTCTTCAATATTCTGGTCTTCCCATTTGTAGCCTAAAATATAGTAACAGAATTGTATGACACATTATTTGAATTTATGCAACATTTCAGTTATCTTCAATCATCCTTAGAACCATGCCTGATTTATTTACTACATTCTTTCTCTTTTACAGTCAAAATCATAGTGGAACATTAATCTTGAAGAAAGGCTTGTACCCTTAAGTCAAAAAGTGACAGAAAGTTCACATTCTCACCTATATCAGTGAGGTTCTGGTAGGTTTCAAACATCACATCTTTGTAGAGTCTCTTCTGGGAAGGATCCAGCAAAGCCCACTCTTCTTGGGTGAAGGTCACATGCACATCTTCATAGGTCACTGCATCCTAAAGTATCCCACACACATATGTAATAGAAATGGTGAGACTGAATGCATAGCAAATGTACACTTCATTGAGAATATTTATATAACTCTGTGTGCTCAACAAATTTATTTCAAATCACAGAATTTTAAATGCAATCACCAAGTCATTTTAGATGGAAATTGAAAAGAAGGATTATGAGTCTCATTTCTGGGCCCTCTGAATAGTATATGGCATTGTAAGAGAAATGTTGACTTGCATATATAGCAGGACATGCATGTGGTGGTATTGTGTTCCCCAAAATATTGTGCACCCTCATAAACTTATCTGGGGTCAGAGGACAGAACAGCCACTAGATACAGAGGCTTGAAAATGGTGGCACTCACGCCTTTAATCCTAGCATTCCAGAGGTGGAAATCTGTCTGGATCTCTGTGAGTTCAAGGCCACATTGGAAACAGTCAGGCATGGTGACACACACCTTTAATCCCAGAAAGTGAGCCTTTAATCCCAGGAAGTGATGGCAGAATGCAAAAAAGTATATAAGGTGTGAAAAACAGGCACTAAGTTGGTTAAGCTTTAGGCTTTTGAGAAGCAGTTCAGCTGAGACCCTTTCTGGATGAGGACTCAGAGGCTTCCAGTCAGAGGAAACAGGATCAGCTGAGGAATTGGTGAGGTGAGGTGGCTGTGGCTTGTTCTGCTTTTCTGATCTTCCAGAGTTCACCCCAATACCTGGCTCCAGGTTTGATTTTATTAATAAGACCATTTAAGATTCCTGCTACTTATGCAAGCAGAGCAACAGTATTATATAAACATTAGTAAAAATTGTATCAAAATTACTGACATCAAAAACAGTTGGACAATTGTGAGTGGTACAATCCCTGGGCTAGTGGTCCTAGTTTCTATAGGAAAGCAGGTTGAACAATTGATGATGAGCAAGTCAGTGAGCAGCACCCCTCCATGGCTTCTGCATCAGCTCCTGTCTCCGGTTCCTTCACTGCTTGAGTTTCTACCCTTAGTGATTCTGATGATGAACTATTAAATAAAACTATGAATGAAATAAACCCCCCCCAAGAGATGGACAAGATGGGCAGATGGTGTACAACTTTAGTCCCAAAACTCAGGAAGTAGACACAAGTGAATCTCTGTATTAACGCCATGAATGCATGCTATCCTAGTGGGAAAAAAATGATACTTTCTGCCAAAGTTTAAAAGTGAACCAGTGGGTAAAGTTCAGCACAAAAGCAAAGGCGTCACATGTATGAAAACCTCATTCTATCAGCCAAAATATAAAAAATAAAAATATCAGTGCAGAAAAAATGGCTTATCAAGGAAAAGCAGTTGCTTCTATTTTATTTTATATTATTTAATGTTGGAGTCTGTAATGGTGGTAATGGTGTGGCTGTATGAGAAGAAAGGAGACTGCTCAATTTCACCTCTGTGGTCAGAGTACAAACATTCTGAATAGACCCCTCATGCTAAAGGTTCCATGTGCACCCTGATGAAACCACAAACCAGAGACAGTCTCAAATACATCTTCTTACTTAGAAGATTTTTCATTCAACCCACATTTTCATGCAGGTCATAAGCTCACACTCAACCCATAATGCAAAATCCATTTAGTCTAACCCCAAAGATCCCCATATTTTGTAACAGTCCTAACACTTCTCAAATGTAAAAATTTTCATCTGACACTCTAGGCAGTCTCTTGACTGTGGCATCCTATAAAGCCAAATAATAAATTATATCTAAGCAACACACAAAGGTAAAAAATACACATTTCCATTTCAAAGAAGTAGGAATGATTGCACCAAGGCAAAACTGAAAACCTGCTGGGCAAACACCAAATCCTGTAGCTCTGAATCAGACATCTGGAGCTTCAGTTTCAAAGGGCTTAGATGGCTCTCTGCAACTTTTCACACATCCTGCTCTCTCTTTTTGTCTCCTTCAACTCCCTACATGTAGCTATTCATGGTCCGTGCCTCAAAGCTTATGCATTTCAACCTTTAGTGGTCTATAAATGCAGTCTAGGCTTCATTGTCACACCTTCATAAAATGAACTATCACAGTCTTCTCACAGGGACCTTGACTTTGTCAAACAGATGGCTGTAACAGTGTAGAACTGAAAGCACAGAGGAAGATTCCATGACTTTGAAATGTTACATCTTTCTTCTTTCAAAAAAATGGGACACATAGATGATATGTCTACAAGGGGTTCTAGCTTTGGATTGACGATGCTGCATTAGAACAGATCAGCAGCAAGTTCTGTATGAAGTTGGTTTCTGGGCATAGGAATCTTGTTGCCTTTTCCTTCCCAATTTAAATGCTGGCTGGCTGGGAAGAAACCCTGCAACATCTTTTCTTTTGTTCTTTATTTTCATCATGAGGTAGAAAGTATACTACCACAAGCATTCCATTTGACAAGTCATGTCATCTCTTCATTTGGATCTGCTTGACAGGTGAATATTAATGGCTTCCACTGGTTTTCCTTCTGGTCAGTGCCCAGCCTCCCATGATTTGTGCCCATCCTACCCAGGGCATGCTCCAGTGGTGCAAACGGTTAGTGCATGGTACTCCTATCACATCTTTTCTATATTACCAAAGAAGAGCAGGTGCTTTTTCTTTAATGGCCCTGTTTCAGCACATGACTGCCACTTGAAACTCTGTAGTACTGTTTTTCTTTCCAAACCACACAAGTTTCATTAATTTCTACCCCTACTATTGCTCTTTTACTCTTTGGGTCAGCATGAGTCATCAGTTATAACCAAGCAACAGACTACATGTTTTTTCAAGACTGTCCATAATTCTTTAATTTAGCCTTACTCATTTTCACAGAACACAGGAAGAATACATACGTACAATATGCCAAAATAGTACCAAGAAAAATCTGTCTTAGTTACTGTTCTGCTGCTGTGAAAAAACACTATGAACAAGGTGACTGTTATAATTCCAGGTTTTAATTTGGAGATCGATTATACAGAGGATTAGTCCATTATCATCATGAATGGAAACATCAAGGTAGGCAAGCATGGGGCTCAGACTAACATCCTGATACATAGGTAGAAGGCAGAAAGAAACACTCTTTTTGGCTTGGGCTTTTGAAACCTCAAAGCCCACATATACTTTAACAAACAAGACACACCTATATCCACAAGGACATACTTCCTAATTTTACACAATTATTTCCACTAATTGGAGACCAAGTATTAAAAGACAGAAGCCTAAAGCTTGAGCAATATAAACCATGAAAGAAATATAACCTGAGTAGAAAGAGCACTAGAGGAAAAGAGTGAAAGAAATTGAGAAAAAATAGGGAGTAAGAACAAGGAGAGGGAGGAAGGGAGAAAGAAGGAGAGAGAAACAAAAGGAAGAAAGTATTCATCTCAAAACGGGGGAGCCAGTACTTCTTGAGGGGTTATAGGCCTTCTCAATATAACCTTCCCTACTCTATCTAAGAAGGGACTAAACAATATGAGATTTCAAAACTTCCTAAGTCCCTGTTTTCTCTCTAATTGCATGGCTTTATCGTGTGTTTCTGTCCCTGTCTAATTCTCTCTGGTAGAAGGTCTGGTAGAAGCAATGAAGGCAATATTTGGTGTCCTTAAGTGTGACTGTTGTAGATGGCTCTATCAGGAGGGTGCATTTCTAACTGTGCAGATGTGCCACCCAAGGCTGCTAAGGTTTTAAATTCAATTTAATTACTTTAGCAAGTTGGATTCTGAAGGTCTTAAATTCTAGCCAACATGGAGAGCCACAAATTTTTTTTTTTTTTTTTTTTTTTTTTTTTTTTT